ACCAGCGAGCACTTAAGTGTGAAATACCAGCTCCATAGAAATGAAAGAGGGAGTGGGAGGCCATGGGGTGAAGAGGGGGATTTTAGAGCAGGAGGGTCAGCATGGACAATGGCTGGGAATCAGACAGGAGCCTGAGAAATTCAAGGGACTGAAAGGACATGCATCATAAATCTATGTGGTGGGCCTGGGGGCAGGAGCATTGCAAACAGAGTGAGGATTGAGGCCAGTGTCCTTGGAAGGGGCACTGTGCTGGGAAGTCACGGGAAAGGGGAACATATAAAACTGATCTCAGCAAACAGCCAAGAAAAGGTGGAGCAACCTAAAATCCTTTCATAGATGATTGTATAAACAAAATGTTGCATGTTGATACAATGGAATACAATTCAGCCATCACAAGGAATGTCTGACATCCTCTATAACACAGATCAATCTAGAGGGTCTTATGCTAAATGCAGTATGTTGGGCACAACAGGACAAATTCTATAGGATTCCATTGGTGCAAAATACCTAGTGTAGTCAAGTTTATAGAAACAAAAAGACAATGGTGGGTTCCAGGGGTTTTTAAATAGGGAAATGTTGTTAATGACCACAGATGAATGGTTTCTGGACATTAACTGAGCAAAATGAGGAATGTGCTTACCATTGCTTAGCACTATTTTGCTGCACTTAAAATGGGTAAGATGGTAAAGTTTATGTTTTGCATTTCATCCTATCATATCATTTTATCATATTTTTTTGTTCACAAGCCAGGTTGATATGAGTGACTATCACTTTTCTTTCCTTATCTAGGATCCCACTGGGTGATTGAAATTCTCTGTCTGATTCACTCCAAAGGGGATACCAAGTGGATTCAATCTGTGCCCATCTGGGAACGCGCACCCTGGTTAGAGACAGATGTGGGCTATAAAATGTTAAATGAGAGAGAGGGTCCACGGCTCCTGGCCTCTCACCTCCCCTTCCATCTCTTCCCCAAGTCTTTATTCACTTCCAAGGCCAAGGTCAGTGCCTAATGTTTGATCAATGCCTCTTTTCCCTTCTATGTGCCTAGATAACCCCTGCAGATCTTGCTGGGAGTCTGCTAATTGGTAAATTGGGTGAGAAATAACATTCTCAGATATGAGGTGTGGTTGACATGGCCACAACAAGACCACACTGAGGGCCAGGATGTGGACCATTACACAGATTACATTGTCAGATTCAGGAAAGTCACAGGCTAATGCCAGAATCTTAGAAAAACACTCTCCTGTGCAAGCAGAATTTATAATCTACACTGGATTATCCCAGCCTTGCAGCTCTTTAAGACGTCAGCCTGTATTAAATTAATAAAAGCCTCCTGCCAGGTAGGTGGAAGCAGAGAGGTCAGTGTTGTCCACATGGGGAGCAGAACACGCACACATTGATAAAGCATGAATCCAGGGGTGGCTCTGGACTGGTGGCCAGCTATGTCTCCATGGCAGCCCAGGGCACGCCACTGTGTTTTGTGATTAGCAGCCACTGCAGCCTCCCTCTGGCTGACAGAGGATCAGCACAGACCAGGGATCTGACATGCCACAGACTCTCTTTAGAAACACACCTTTTAAAAGTGTTTGTTGACTTCTGAAGTTTTTCATGGTTTTGTTTAAACAACACCAAGAAATCTAGAAAAATAATCTCCTGTCTTGGAAATGTCAAAAAGTGTCTAACAGTGAGGCTGCCTCAATAGACCCACTTCCATGTCTCCTGTTGGTTTCTTTAACCCCTTCCTGATTAAACTGAGATCTAAGGAGACACAAGACCTCCAATAACAACACCAGGGAAGTTGGTGCAAATAAAAAGTCAATTTCTGATGTTCAAGTACAAAATGGTGAGTGTGTGCGTTTGTGTGTGTGTTCACTAATCTTGAACACCAGCCTCTTCCTATGCACATACGTACACAGTTGGGAAACTATCACCCAGACCTGATTAGACTTTTCTAGTATCCAGAAAGTCTTCCCATGCTCTTCCTACCAGTCAGTGCCCCACACCTGAGGAAACCACTCCCTGCACTTCAGCTACAGATGACTTTTGCTTATTCTTGAATTTTGTATAAAGGCATTCATGCAATTTAGATGTCACATCTGTGACATTCCTGGATGGTCTTGAGTGTGAGAATGACTGTGTGTTGCTATGAATCCGAATATACCAGAATTGATTAACCCATTCTGCTGTTAGTGATCATCCTGGGATAGCACACACACCCCTCCCCACTTACCATTTAAACCTATCCAGCTGCTTCCCATGTGGAGTCGACTAATATCCCAGAAAGAAGAGACAAGGTCTTCCTCTTCTATTCCTGCACATGAATATGTAATAGGGACGTTAAGGTATTTCATTAATGAATGTTATAATTAATTCATTAAAGGAACCCATTGATGTTTATTAGTAGAGCTTAAGTAATAACTGCCTGGATACAGATCGAGGCGGGAAATGACCAATTGAGGCTGATTTTTCATTCCTCATTTTTCCTTAATTCAAGGTGATATATGTTATGAGAAATCCCAAAGATGTTCTTGTGTCAGGTTATTATCATCGGACTGTGACAAAACTGAGTAAGAACCCAGAGTCACTGGAACAATATTTTCAATGGTTCTTGGAAGGAAACGGTGAGTGTTCTGTGACAGATTTGCTTCCTCTAGTCTCCTGGCCTTTCTCCGACTTTTGTGAAATCCCTTTTGAATTCTCTTTCTGTATCCTTTCCACATGTTAGGAAAACAGACAACCCTTGACTTTGTGAGTCTGGCTTGTTTCAGTTATCATGCTGTTCTCCAATCCACCCATTTTCCTGCAGATGACATAATTTCGTTCTTCTTGACGACTGAGTAAGACCTATCATGTGATGTGACATAGTTATATGTCTGTCCTTCAGTCAGGGGACACCCAGGGTGGTTCCATACCGTAGCTGCTGGGAGTTGAACTGCTACCAACATGGGTGTGCCTGTCACTGTAGTGCGCTGACTTTCATTCCTTTGGGTAAATACTATGGAGCTCTGTGACCAGATCACAATGGTGGCTCCATTCCTAGTCTTTTGAGGAAACTCCACACGGATTTCCATGTGGTTGTGCTAATTTCCAATCCCAACAGTGTGTAAGTGCTCCCTTTCACTCCCATGCCTGCCAGAATTCATTATTACTTTGTTATAGTGTTCTTGGTGATTGCCATTCTAACTGGAGTGAAGTTGTTAAAAATGTTGTAATTTTTTTTTCATAAAATTTTTGGCCATTTTCTTTCTCCTTTTGAAAATGATCGTTCATTTGCCCACCTACTCATTGGATTATTTGGTTTTGGTGTTAAGACTTTTGAGTTCTTTATATATTCTGAATGTTAATCCTCTTTCAGAAAAGTAGCTGGCACAGATATTCCCCCATCCCAAAGTCCTCTCTCCTCTGTCTTGATTCCTTTGCTGTTCAGAAGCTTCTTAACTTGATGCCATTCAGCAATTCTTGGTTTTCCTTCCTGAGCATAGAAGTCTCTGGAGTAGCCGAGCCTGCACCTATATGTTGGAATGCACGTGCTGTTTTCTGCTAGTCCTTGTAGTGTTTATGGTCCAATCCTGTGTTTTTTCATCCGCTTTGAGTTGAGTTCTGCAGGATTTCRCTTCATTCTTCTGCATGTAGCTATTTAGATCCAAGCAGCAATTATTAGACTGGCTATGTTTTCTCAGTATTGGCTTCTGGTGTCTGTTAAGGGTCAGATGATCCCATCTGTGTGGATTGTCTCTGTATCTTCCATTCTCACCCATATGGTCTATGTGTCTGTCTTTACAGTTACAATTTTTTGTTACTATTTCTCCTTAGTATGATTTGAGACTGAGAAGAATTTAAAACGTGATTAACTTCAGCACTATTCGTGTGTGTGTGTGTGTGTGTGTGTGTGTGTGTGTGTTGGGGATTAGACCCAGGGCCTTGCCTACGCCAGTCAAGTGCCCTACCACTGAGCCACACACCAGCACTTCACCATAGGTCATACTGCTGAGAAAGGCTTTGGATTTTTGTTTGTCATTTAATTTGGGGATTGTTTCTTCTATTTCTGTGAAGAATGTCTTTGGTATTTGATGCGGATTTCATTGAATCTGTAGAATTCTTTGGGTAATATGGCATTTTTGATTCTGGTCATTTAAGAATATGGAAGGGCTTTTCACCTTCTAGTGTCTTCTTCAGACTCTAGTTTCTCAAGGTTTCTGCATGAGGTCTTCCTCCTCTTTGGGAAGATTTTGCTTAGGACTTTTGTGTTGTTGTCTGTTTCTTTTGGTACTAGCCAGGGATTGAAGTCAGGGTCGATCGACCATTGAGACATACTCCCCCCTTTTCTGATATTTTATATAGAGACGGGGTCTTGCTGAGTTCCTTAGAGCCTCACTAAGTTGCTCAGGCTGATTTTGAACTTGCCAACCTCCTGCCTCAGGCTCCCAAACTCCTGGGTTTAYAGGTGTGCACCACTGCACCTGGCTACCTAGATATTTTTTGAGACCATTTTAAATGAAAAGCATTCCTGATTTCTTCCTTAGCAGATTCATTATTAAGAAGAATAGTTCTGGATTTCGATGTGGTGATTTTGTATCCTTCTACTCTGCGGAGTTGGTCATCAATTCTACAAGTGTTTGGGGAGAGCTTTTTGGGYATTCAAAGCATGGTACCCCATCATCTGCAAACACTGATAATTTGGCTTCATTCTTTCCTACTTGTATTTTCTTGTCCTTTTCTTTTTTCCTTCTCTTGCCTGCTTTCTCTGACTAGCGTTTTAAGAAGTTTATTGAATGGGAGAGGTGACAGTGGACATCCTTGCCTTGTTCTGGATTCAGGAGCAAAAGCTTCCAGTTTTCCCAGGTTAGCATGATGTTGGCTTTGGGCTTGTCACAGATAGCCTTTAGGATGCTCAGCCAAAATGTTTTGATGTGGTAAAATACATTTCTGAGTTTACATACGGTGTACCCACCTTACATCCCCACAATGAAATCAGCACGTTGTGATGTATGATCTTACAGTGTTAATACAACATGTCTTGAGTTTAATCTTAATGTTGAATAGGATTTTCTAATATTTCAATAAGGTTTTCAGTATCTGTGTTCATGAGGAATATTGGTTTGTTGATTTCTTACTTTATATGTCTTTGTCTGATTTGGGTATCAGTATGATAGTGGCTTCATAGAACAAATTCAGGAATCTTTCCCTCTCTAGGTCATTACCTAATTTGAGCAGCATTTGTCAATTATACATGAATCAAGGTGTCAGGGTGTGAAGAGTGACATGGACAGTCCAGCTTCTGTTTTGGCAGTGTATAACCTGCACCCATGTGCCTACCCGGCAGTGTCCTATGGATCATGGTTCGAGCACATTTGTGGCTGGATGTCCATGAGAGACAGGGAGAATGTCCTGCTGCTGAGTTATGAAGAGCTGCAGAAGGTGAGCCCCCTTCTCAAGGGTCAGCACCTCGTAGCCCTGATTGCTACCCCTGACATYCCTGGTCCTCAGGGTCTCCACTCCACCTTTCCTGTTACAGTGTCGCCTCCCAGAGGTCAAGAAGAGTAGTGAACTTTGATCTCCATGGCTCTGCTTTTGCCTGACCCTCCCCAAGCTATTTTAAAGCCCGATGGTTATTCAATGTCAGTTAAGGATTAGTCTTTGGGGGATTTTTCTCCTTGCTCGTGTTGCAAGGACATTCTCTARACGTCCAACACCTGCCTTTGGGGTGTCCTGAGCTCAGCCTCCCTGGGAAGACCCTGTTGATCTTCACGTCACCACATACTTCACTCCCTCTGCTGGCCCCTTGCTCTTTCTTCCTCCATCTGGCACCCATTTCAGTCTTTTCCCATTTTGAGATGTCGTCCTCTCCTCTTCCTCCCCCACACCCCTCCTAACAAATCTGTTCCCATTTCCCATCTCTGCTGTCCTTCCCATTCAGAGCATCACTCTTGATTGTTCACATTGTAGGACCCAAGAAGCAACATAGAGAGGATCTGTCAGTTCCTGGGAAAGAAGTTAAATCCAGAAGAACTGGACTCCGTCCTCAAGAACAGCTCCTTCCAAGTCATGAATCAAAACAAGATGTCCAACTTTGAAATACTGTCTGAAACTTTCACTACTAAGAATTTCAAAATTACTAGAAAAGGTAAAATGCTGTGGTTTCACAAGGTATGAGAACACTCGGAGGGCATTGTGTGTTCACCGCCTGACACTAAAGGTGAAGGAGTKGGACCTTTTCAACTTKAAYMMTTCATGGCCCAGAGCCTCTCGTGCCCTTGTGGGAAAGCTGTGTTCATGGGACTGGGGTGGGCTGCAGGTACCTGGAGAAGGCTGACTCAGTCTTGGGGAGGAGGGGSTTCTGGAGATGGGGGTGTCTGGGCCACTCCACTGGTGACTTACCATAGAGAACTGCCCTAAAGAGAGAGATAACAAARAAAGACCAAATTGGAGAAAGTGGGGAGTGGGTCATTTGCTCTGAGACATTGTAAGGCCTCTTTTCTATGAGGAAAGATGAATCATATCTACACATTTGGAATCAGGCCTATTGAAAATATCTGCTCCGAGTAGTGGCAGAACCTGTTTTTCCCAAATTAACGTGCACCTGGAATGGTAAACCTTGGAATCAATATAGCAAATCCTTCAAAGGATATTCAATAGGTCAGGATTCCTGCCACAGAGTGCCTGGAGCAGAGAGCCATAAAACAGAGGACTGGGCCAGGGAGGTAGGAGAGAGCCCATGCCTAGCAGAAGAAATCAATAAAGAYGCTTCTACTAATGAAGATACCAATGAAAGTGGGAGTAAGAATGAGTGGCTATAGGAGAGCCATTACATATTAGAAATTCTGCTACTTGATATTCATTTGGGTACAGGGTTTCTGTTCTCACAATTAAAAGTCTCAAGGGTCACTTCTGTTGAACAGGGCTAACTGGGCTGCACGAAATAACCACACAAGAGTCACAAATACCTTTTTCACTGGGGTCGCTGTGACGGCTCCTCTGACCCTAAGGGTCCACAGGAAGAGAGAGAGTGAGAGCACACACTGTTCCTCTTATTGAGGAAAAGCTATTCAAGTGAAGCAAGGGGTCTGGTTTCAGGGGCTGAGTATCTTCATGATGTCCACTGTCAGCAGGTGGACTGACACCTGGGTAGGCCTCACCCAAGGGCACAGTAGGAGAAGGGGACACACACAAGGCACTTCCATGGAAGATTCTATCTTAAACAGGTCAAGGGGTAATATCACAAAGGAACAGGTGAGCGTAGCTTCACCCATGGGGCTGTAGCAAGACACACCCATGCACCAGACACTGACCCTGGAACCCAAGAAGGGTGAGGAAAGCTTTGCCATATTTCTGTGACTGAGCACCTCAGCACCCAGCTGGGGAGTGTGACTTAATATGTGCAAGGTTGGTCTCCCACATTTGGGTGTATTGTTTATAGGTGTATATTAGTTTAGATGTCATTAAATATTTCATTAATTAATTAGTTTGGGCTGGTAGGTCAAATTTAACTTATGTCATATATAATACTGTGACCACATAAGTAAAGGGTATGGCTTACGTCCATATCTTTAGCTTTCCATCCACCCACCACTCAAAAACCCCTTGTCTGGAAAATAGGGTATTATGCTGCCGGGTTTCTGTTCTCTCGACTAAAAGGCTCAGGGGTCACTCTAGTTAAACTGGGCTAACTGGGCTGCACCCATGGGGCTSTAGCAAGACACACCCATTTCTGTGACTGAGTGCCTCAGCACCCAGCTGGGAAGTATAACTCAGTCACCCGTAAGGTTGGCCTCACACATATTCCCTCTTTCTTAATATATATAAAAAAGAATGTAACTGGGAAATTTTCTTTCTGTCACTTGGCTCTTGGTCCAAGGTCATCACAATCTGCTATTGAAACACAAAAAGAATTAGCAGAAAACATATTATCTTCCTAACAGTCAACACAATAATCTGGATTATTATTACCTTGCCAAACACTCATCAGAAGATTCTTAATCTTTTTCCAATTTTATTGGGACACATTGTTTTTGGCCATAGTAACAGACATTTTCATTGCCATGGCATTTAGGCCTCTCCATAAACCATAGAGCAAAGGGCTCACTCACATTATTCATTATACTGTCTTCTAGAACATCATTACTTAGTTCTCATCCTTCCATCAGCACTTATCTGACCATGAAGGAAGTTGGATGTAATTTAAGTCAAACATTAAGAAAATCCATACATTGT